ACCCCCCCCCCCCCCCCCCCCCCCCATTTTTCAGGCGTTTGAATCCAGTTTGGTCAAGGCGTTTATTGTATAGGACTTAGAATGGTTATAATAAAGCCTATATATTCCATAATGTATAGGCTTTAGTGTGACATTATAAAACTCATACAAGAGAGAGATGTGAATATTACCACACCAAATCCTAGACCTTTCTTTGTAGCCCCTCTTAGCAGCAGCAATCAATGTGGTCCTCCTGCAACAGCAAGGAAGGGTATCAGCAAGCAAGCACCCTGTCTGCTGTTCCTTATAGAGAAGGCAGGGTTCACAGCAGCAGCAGCATCATGTATATAGGCTTTACTACACACACTAAATCTATTGCTGCAATGTACCCACAACACACAGCAGTGGTCTAAACTTCAAGAAGTAAGTAAGTAAGAGAGGTGTAAGGTTTCGAATAGTCATACGCATGCATACTAAATGCTATACAATAGAACATGTATAGGTTATACTATACCACACTATTTCCTACATATATCTATGTATACGGTATATAACAGACCGCCCCCCCCCTCCCTCCCCCTGATCTGGTCCTTAATCCAGTTTTTTGTGGGGTGTGCATCACGTACATATTTGAATCCACGTGCCCTCTTCACGCATATGGTACCCCTAGACTACACCTCCCCGCCACAAAGTAGTAGCAGTGGGGTGCCGAATTTTTTGTTGGCCTACTCCTCGCGCAAGTGATTGCGGGGGCACGCATGTTGCTGCACGTGCGGAGTAACAAGAAGAGCATCCGTATCGTGCCGCTCCGTGGGCTAGTTGAAGTGCTACCCTACGTCGTGCGGATCGCTGCATCCGCGCTCCTGCTGTCGGCAGCAGGGGTCGAGTCCGCTTCGTGCGCCGCTGGCGTAATACAGGCTGATGTTACTTCAGCAGCAGACGCAGAGGGTCTCGTGAGCATCTTGAGCTGTACCGGAGGGGGGGTGTTTGATGTCGTGTGGACGGGTAGCGTGCCCATCGCGGAGCCCTTCAATGTCTCTGGCGGGAGCTCGCTGACCGTCACAGGTGCTTCTTCATCTGTAATCGATGACAACAGCAGCAGCGTTGCTGTCGTTGACGGCCAGGGCAACGATGGCATCTTCGATGTCTCCGGTGCTTCGACCTTGTCCCTCAACAACCTGATGCTGGCTGCCGGGAACAGCTCGACGGACGGGGGGGCCATCCACGTTACCGGTGCCGATGTGTTCGTTTCGGACTGCGGCTTTCAGAACAACAGCGCAACAGGGTATGGGGGTAAGCACGGGATACGAGCGGGCCTGCGTACAAGTATATACACGTGAACCTGCGTGTGCTTTTCCCGGATGATGATGTTCTCCAACAAGACGAGAGGCGCTACAGTAAATAAGCGAAAACATAAAATGAACTGCTGTCGTATTTTCAGCACACAGACAACTTGTTGTATGCATACATGCTGTCTACTGAACGCGCCACTCCCTTTTATTTTGCGCGAGGCTCGACGACTAAGGGGGTGCAGAAAAGGGGTAGTTACGCTGGCTCTTTTCCCCATACTTTAATCCTATACGAAGAAAGAAAACAACCTTCCCGCAAGGGTTATTGTAGGTGTCGGATTTTATTGTCATCAGTAGAGGACACCATGAAGAGGCGTCGTGCGGGCTGGCACGTTCAAGTTTGCTACTGGAGCTGAAATATCGAAGGTCGCAGCAACTTCTGAAAACTGTCCGAAATCTGCGGCGGAGCCAAGCGGCATCCAACATTTGTCACAGCCGCGATCACCGCCACGGACCGTAAACCCCTGAGCCACGGGTCGTCAGCAGTAGCTAGTGGCATCAGCTACTGCTGTAACCCCGCAGTTCAGGAGATTGGGGTCAGTGGCGGCGAGCACGGCTGTGACAAATGTTGGATGCCGCTTGGTTCCGGCGCAGATTTCGGACTGTTTCCAGAGGCTGCTGCGACCTACGATATTTCAGCTCCAAGAGCAAACCTGCACGTGCCAGCACACACGACGCATCTTCATGATGTCCTCTACTGATGACAATAGAATGTGACACCTAACCCTCAAAATTGACCTTGTTTGAGCGCGTTCCGTTTTGGCTCCTTTGACTAGAATTTAGAATGGTGCGAATGTGTATCTTGATTTCAAAGGAGGCGTGTGGAGGTAGACGCGTGAAATGTATGTTTTGAGCAGCCTCTACTTCCGCCCTGTGCGAGAATCAACGATTGCTGTTTTTCGCGGTGCCTTCCTACTGGTCTGGTGTGTCTGTTGTGCAATTTCTGGTGCTCTTGCGTGTGATTTCAAAATGAGTCAACATCAAAATTCGTCTTCTGCACCCCCTTAAAGGTTGCCTCAAGCTGAGCCCATGTTCTTATTTTCCAAGTTCTTATCTAGAGCAGGCATCTGCCTAGGATAGACGGGGCTCTTGTTCTTATTTGTACGTCGATTGGGCCATGCCGAGGGCATAAGTGTATAAGTGTATATCAACGTGCCACCAAGAGCATCATACAACAGAGTGTATCGGACAACGCCCCCCCCCTCAGTTCAAATGCGAATGTGGCTCAGAAGCGTGAAAACCAGGTTCGTGCAGGAGGCTGCGGAAATTCAGTTGTAGTCTACGACTTACGACTACTGTAGGAGAGAGAACACATGTCTGAGCTGGGAAAAGTAGGAGGGAGGTCCAGGGAGATGTTGACAGGCATGGAACAGCCAGGAGAAGACTGGGTAGCTGTATTGATTGGGGCCTAGGCAATGGGTTGAAGAGGCGGGAAGTGATGTCGATAGGCTAGGCAAGCTTGGGGAAAACGTTTTTGAGCCTCCTTTGGCGAAGTAGAAAGGAACAATTGGCCACATTTAATCGGTCCTGTGGGAACAATGCTCCGTCTTCTCGAGGACACGTCGTCAATGATCTAACTGCATGACCGCTTCTGGCATGCAAAAGTTGAGTACGCCCCCCTCCGCGCGTAAAAGCATCAGACTTTTTCACGAGACCCCCCCCTCCCGCCCCTAATCTGAAACCGATTGCTGTTGGGGTTCTCCCCCACCATCCTGAGTGCCTGTCTGCTGCCGCCTTGCTTTGGGGTTCGGTTTTTAACTGTTTGCGCATTGGTACACGCCACGAAGGCGGGTTCTTGTTCTCAAAACCATGTCGGAACTGAGCACCTGTTCTTATGGCCTCCCAAGTCCTTAGATTTTGGATTATTTTAGGCTCAAGTTCTTAACTGCCAAGTTCTTAAGTGGTGGCGCGTTCTGAAGACGCATAGACTACTGTAAATACTTTGCCGTAATGCAAGGGTCTGCAGACAAGGCTAGAGGCATGAACCTGCTTGCTGCCGGTGACAACAGCAGTACCTGCCCCTCCCCCCGTCCTCCGATATATGCATTGCATGTGATAATAGTGGGAGGGTGTGATCCGTGTTGATAGTAACTGGTGGAGAGGCAAGACTCGGCGCGGAGAGCCGCGAGGCTTGAGGACTGGTTCACACGCCATGTGAAGAGGGTGCGACAATGAGGAGAAGGGCGGAACAAATGTGTCATCTCCAGTGTAGGAATTTAGGGAGCAGGGAGATCGTCAGGTCGTTGCGAACTTCTACATGTGCGAGGTAGCCCAAGGGCATTGAGCCCCCATACAACTGTCAATAACTTCCGAGAGTAAACCACATGAACACTTCCCGCACCTCTTCCAGACCACGAAAGCGACCTGCTGTTCTTCCTTGGACACAGGCGCAATTTTCGCGGAGTCCTCTGAAGTCACCATCGCGGGGAACACACGATTCTTCGGCAATTCCGCCGGATACAGAGGAGGTGAAGAGAAGACCAATTCCAACCCATCCAGGGTCATATAATGATAGTCGAGATACTCGAGATACTGGTATGGGTCTGTCTCTACAGATGTGCTCCGCGAAGGCTGGCAAAGAATCCGGACTGCAGAGACAGGATGGTGTCGATGTGGTGTTGCTTGACGCGCACAAGCACTACCTGGTATGTCTCTGTCAGGGAACTTTTAACTTTCCCCCCAGGTTTTCGCCGTGCACTTGAGGTGCGCCTTGGCTTCGAAACCGATCGCAGGGGAACAGAACGCTGCAATAGCTGCTCGTGAGATGATGCTGGCTCGATACGATGTGGACCCAAAAATCAATACGGCTTTTCTGATACCCACGACACAGGTGCCGTTTACGGGAACAACTCCCGAGTTACTATCAGCGACACCGTAGTTTTCACGTCCAACTTGGCAATCGGCGACGGAGGTACGTCTTGGTTTGCGGGGGCCCCTTACCCATCTCGGCGTCGACATTTGGCAGTCTACGCCCCTGGTTGTACAATGCACGCTCTTTCTTAGGTAGAACGTTTTACGGTGCTTCCCACTCCACGATTCCGATGCCGCTTGGGGTCACCAACACCACTATACTCATTGCATCCATATCGCTGTCCCAGGGGCCATGTACACCGACAGCTCGAGCATCGCCATCCAAGACAACGTAACCTTCGACGGCAACGCAGCTGAGAACAGAGGAGGTGGGCTGCTATGAGAGGATCGAAAACGTTGGTAGACAAGCGGTGAGGCGGCACGTGAGCCAACGCGAACGACGGAAACCGTTGTTTGGGGGGTACGCGGCCCTGCCAGCTTCCGTGGCGTGCCGCTGTAGCACAGACATCTATCGCATCCGTGAGGTTGTATGTGCCCGTTCTTGTTGTACCATTTTATTCTTGGACAAGCTTGTGGCAAGGGAAGGTGGTTTCGTGGTCTGTGAACAGCAAGAGAACGGATGTACTGGTGCCTGAACGCATGTGGTTTCCCAATGCAGGACGAGACTGCCAAGAATGTTGGTCAGGTGTTCAACGAAGTAGACCCTTCGCATCATTTGTATGTGGTCGAGCCCTCCGGGGCGGCAAGTAGCACTCGCCTTTCCTTGTTGGTGGCTTAGCGCCAAGGAAGGCGCTCGGGCGGCTGTCGAATACGAATGACTGCTCGTGGGCCGCCGCCACGATCTTAGGTTCGTAGTCTCACGCTTATGCATGACACATGATGTAGACAAGTCCAACACGAGAGAGAGAGTATTAGACAAGAGCTAGCAATATTTTCTCGTGCTTGCTTTCTCAAGATCGACCATGTCGTGCCAACGCTAGACTCCACCCGTTGGCTCCGTTCCGAGGCCCCTCTCGATCGCCCTACGTCTGTCCACAAAAACGGCGGGTGAGCTACAACATTGCAGTCGTGGTAGGAGCACTGAATGTCTATTCTACACCGTTTTGCCCCCGTCTTGATCCGAGAAGGTGCCATAAGGGGGTCTTTCTCCAACTTCACAGTTGACGACGCCGTCCGATTCACCAACAACACGTCGGTGAAAAATGGAGGTAAGCATGCTGTCCGAACGCTCGACACTTTCTGGTTTTATTTTATGTCTGATTCCATGAATTGTGTTGAGCAGGGCCGCGGGAGGGTCACGCGGAAACGTAGCGACAGCTGTGGCTGTGCTGATTGACTATGCTCCCAACTCTGTCCCTTGGGACGGTATGCAATGACAACGGGAATCTCCTTGTGTGCAATACCCCGAACACGCTTGGTCCAGTATTGCGTAGTGTGCGCTACACGCTCACCGAGGATTTTGTTCTTCAATTAGGCAGGGCTCTAAGTCCTGTGAAGTATGAAGTTCTGTGGGTACGGATCAAGGGTGGCTGGTTCGCTAAGCCTTTCGTGCGGGAAGCACCACTGACCGATCCTGTGTTAACTCCATCAAAGCTTCCGCAATGCCATCGGAATCAAAATTTGTAGGTGCCATTAATTCGTGGTTCTCCGAGTTCACCTTCCGCGGCGACCCGGTTTTCGATAACAACGCAGCTGCCGGCGATGGAGGTGCGTGTCATGCTTCCGGTCGTTTAGATTCTTGTGTCCTAGCTGCCTCCGAGTAGTGGGGCATGAGCACTTGGTGTCACCATTGGACCGACGTTCGACTGATTCTGCAGGTGGCTTCCCATGAAACATTGGATATCCAACGTCGTGAATGTCAAGAAGTAGGATGACTACTAGACCACTAGTCAGCGCGGTCTAGTGGTCTATAGGTCATCGTGTCGCCTAGAAAAGGTTAATGGCCATGAACACGTTTCCGCAGGGTTGCCATCCCTGTGATCAGCGCTGTCTTGCCCGATCCATGTTGCGGTAAAAGTAAGAGGTTCATCGGCATATTTTGCGAAGTCCCTCAGACTTTGTATTTCCAACTATCGGGCGCAAATTAAATCCTCGAAGGATAAAATGCTCAAGGCCGCTGGTCAGCAGTGGTCATCGTGTTTCTTAACAGTGAACCCCGCACGTGAAACTTACCTCGAAACGCCCACACCTGTCTTGACAAGGACGACATGGCGAGGGTATTCATTGAAGCACGGCGATGGAACAGCCCACCACGTCCATGCGACAAGGAGAGCTGTTGACATCATTGTCGTTCTTTCGCCTGCGCGCAGGTGGTATATCAGCGTACCAGACAAACCTGACAATCCTTGACGGCCTCGCTTTCGTCAACAACTCCGCTGGCGGCTATGGAGGTATTTCGTCTGTTGCGGATGTGCATAGTCTAGAGTAGCCGTTGAATGATGGTCAGCAATAGCAACCATCGCCGTGGAGAGGGACTCACTGCTCGACTGTGCCTGTCGACGGCTGCCACGCCTGGACCAAGGCAGGACGTCATGATTAGTTACGTCTTGAGGGCGGGTGTCTGTGATTTATGGATTGGGAACGGCACCGTGCAGTTGGCCAAAGAAGATCTTGCTCAACACTGCCCGACAGGTGAATGAATAGCTGTTCCGCCGTGAGTTCCTCCCGAGAGCATTATTATCAATCAGGAATGACATCGTCGTGGTTTTGGTGGATCTCGTTTTGCCTCTGGCTTGATAACGCAGCCGAACTTTGGTGTGGGGTCCCGTGGCGAAGCAGCCACCGCCGGCATGCATAGGCACTCAGTCAAATAGCTGCAAGCGGTGGGCTTGTCGCGTTGAAGAGACCGTGCGAGCTCTGCTTTTGCCAGCACCCCCCCTCCGCCCGAATCTAGGAGCCGCGTGAGAAACGGAAGGCGATTGTGAAGTCTGTACACGCCTCGCCTGATGCTCGCGTCCAGGCGCTTTTGATGCCTCCGTCTGCGTCATCATCATCGACGGCGACGCAACTTTCCACGGGAACTTGGCCGAGGATGGAGGTAGGATTGATTTGATTGGTAGACACACGATAGGTCCGTTGAGACGATGCAGCTTGTCCTTACGGCTCCCAACAATGAAATCCTTCGTTTGCCCTAGCTGCGTGTTCCTGCGAGGACGTTACGCCTGGCGTCCAAAGCCGATTTTCCTTGGGTCTCTTGCATTGTAGCGCAGAAAACGGGCGGCGTCATGGATCGATCGCGAGGCGTGTTGTGTTGTCGTAACATTGAGCCCCTAGAGATTAAATGTATTCTTGAACGCGGCATGTCACCCGTGTCCTCAGATGGCGGTTTCCGCGGTACGCTCGAGCCAGATTTGTTGAACAACTCTGGGCAAAGAGCGGGGCATACATGGTTGCCCTCGTTGAATTTCGGCATCGTTAAAGTCGTACCACTTGTGATGGATAACTTCTATACTCTTGCTCTTCTGTCCCACTCGTTTTCAAGGTGCGATATTTTTGTACCAAGCCGTGGCACATTTACGAGGAGGGTCCTTTTCGGAGAATTCTGCTATCCAGAGCGGGGGAGCGATGTCAATTTCACAGCCCACCGAAGTCACCCTGTACGGAGTTCTGTTCGTATCGAATACGGCTGACATCGGCGGCGCCATCGCGCTGACATCCACTGGAGAAGAGCCAACGCAGTTTGAGGCGTGCACGTTTGTTTCCAACAGCGCCGTCGATGGGGGGGCGTTGTATATGTCGACCAATGAGGGAATGGAAGTCGTCCGGAATTGCACGTTCTATGGCAACCACGCAGGCAAGTCGATTGAACGCGAAGGATCAAGAACCGACGATGTTCAGGCAGCGCTTCAAAGAGTAGGTCCGCTACAGGTGCCTATCGTAGCGCCTACCCTGAATGAAATACCCAAACAGGCTTCGTGCTACCTGTACCTCCTAGGTGGGGAAACTCTCCGTGTGCCGGTGGATCTATAGTCAACTCCTCATCCTGGCGTGCATGCACACGACGGAACCCTCTGCTGTTGTAAAACACCCACCGCCAGGTGTTTGATTCAACACGCAGCGAATATTTCACGCACGGATTGCATGTACGGCTTTTCTGCTACACCTGACCCAGACCCGTGTTTTGTTAAACAATTCGCCTCGTCGTCCAGAAATATCTGGGGGAACGATCTTTCACACCGGATATCTTGGCATGATCGAGACGGTGTTTGCGTCCAACGAAGCGGGCCAGGATGGTACGGCCGTGTTCAGCATAGGGGTGGTGCAGCAAGCTCTCAACGTAACCTTTGCGAGTAACACGCTCAACTGCCCACTGGGCGAGTATGCGTACGACAAGGAGGTGAGTTGAATTCATGCGTTGCCTTGAGCTACGGAGACGTAAGCACTCAGGGTCAAACTGAGTACTTCTACTTGGTTGTCGCACGGAAGTCGCAAGCACTGGCCAACCCCTGAGATGGGATCGAGTTTTACGGTGGTACGGTGTCCGGCCGCGATCTCGCCCGCGCCTGTTTGGCAGTCTGTAGTCCTGCGCACGACCCTCGCTGTAGCGATGCTGGAGAATTCAGCATTGGTTCGTTGTGTTCTGCAGTACCTGTTACCTAATACATGGCACACTTGTTTCATCTCTTCAGGCCGAAGACGACTCCTGCCGTTTCGAACTAGCGTGCGCGCGATGCTCGGCGGATTGCGACGCCATCCCATCCAGCGTGACCATGGCCGACAGCACCATCCCTGTCTGCCTAGAGTTGATGGAAGGCACGAAGGCATCATCAAGCGGCACCACTGTCGCAACGCTCGACCTGCAGGAGGGATACTACCGCACCTCCGCGGAGAGCCAAGTCGTGGTGGAGTGTTACTTGACAGGCGCCTGCGCGGGTGGCACCGACCCCGAAAACTATTGTGCAGATGGCTACGAAGGTCCCTGTGAGTGCCGTTTTCTCTCACGTCTCCCTTGTTCGTGATCCGTGCAAGAGCCGGGAAAAGCCCAAATTGCGGAGGTGGGGAATGTTTGCTGTCCCTCCAACATCCGCGTCAACCTCATGTCGCATCTCCGGCCCCTTACACGTTTCGACTGCGCAGATTGCTCGGTATGTGCAGACGGCTACGCGCCAGGCACGGCGTACCAGTGTCACGAATGCTCGGGAACAAGCATGGGGTCAGCCGTGGGGCTTGCAGCAGCGGTGGTGGCGGTGGTTCTGCTCGTGGTGGCAGTGGTTGCTACGGACCTCGTACGCGTTGTGGATGGCGATCGAAGCATCAAAGACGCCCGCACTCTAAAGGGGCGACTTTCGCGTTTCCAAGCGTTTGTTGTGAACGCTTTCCCCCTGACAACCGTGAAGATCGTCGTGGTGGCCTGGCAGATAATCACACAGGTGAGGTTCTGATTGTCTCACAAACCAAGTGGGTTGATTAACTCTGCTCGGTCTTTGTGCAGGGGAATGGAACCTATTTGGCTTTCCTCGGACGCCAGACGCGCAGCAATCTTTTCTCTCCAGATCTTGATATCTATTGTTCATGAAACTTGACCACCCGGGAGCAGCAGTTGGAACTTGTGGCAGCACGCTCAACACGTGGATCGTTTTTTCCTTCGCCCCTACCCAATCTCGCCCTTGATGCGCCCGCAACCTGTTCCGCGACAATTCTGGCAGTTCGGTGCGATCGCTGGCTTCGTGTACCCGGAGGAGTACCAAGACTTTCTCAACGTCCTGACGCCTGTTAATCTGGACATTGGCTTCATCCTCTCGTACTCATGCTTCGTGACCACCGATTTTTTCGACCGGTTGCTGATCGCCACAATCGGGCCAGTCGTGGTGCTGGCGCTGCTGGCCTTGACGTTCGTCGTCGGGAGGAAAAGGAACATCAACTCCGAGGCCGCCGTTCGCGCGGTAAAGAACAAGCACCTCTCCGCGGCGCTGTTCGTGATGTTCTTCATCTACTCCTCGGTCTCGTTCACGGTTTTTCTGACGTTTGTCTGCGACACCCTCGACGACGGGGTCTCGTACTTGCGGGCTGACTACAGCTTGACCTGCGACACGCCAAGGTACGGCGCCTTTCGCGGGTACGCGGCCGTCATGGTATGCGTCTACCCTATCGGCATCCCGGCAACGTTTGCCTGGTTGCTGGGGCGTAACCGGCAGGACCTGCAGAAGGCGGACCGGGATAGACTGCCGAATCTTCAGCCGCTCGGCGATCTCTGGGAGGCGTACAAGCCGTCGAGGTACTACTACGAAATCATCGAGTACGTTCGCCGCATCATGCTCACTGGGGTCGCAGTTTTCGTTCTCCCTGGCAGCTCGGCGCAAATCGCCGTCGTGCTCCTGCTGGCCGTCGTGTTCTTGTTCATTTCCGAGTCGCTGTCCCCCTTCGCAAAGAAGATCGACATGGCTCTGTACCGCTGGGGGAACGGCGTTATCTTGGCCAGCATGTACGTCGCTCTCCTGCTCAAAGTGAACGTGTCCGAAGAGGGAAGCGAGACTCTCTCCGCCTTCGTGGTCGTTCTCATATTGGCGAACGTCTTTATGGTCATTACCGTGGTGGTGCAGTCTTTCTTGCTTGTAAGAGAGTGGCGATCGTCCACGGTGTCAGAGCGGGAGCCGGTTGACCCTCGAAGCAAATCATCTGGATGGCTGGAAGACGCCGAAGAGGGCGGCGAGGAAGCAGGAACGGGCGGGGAGTGGGAGGGCGGATGCTTCCAATCGATCCTGTCTAGTAAGCAAGACGCTGCGGGACAAAACGTATCTGCGAGCAACGGTGTACCCAGTGCATTGTTGCTGTAGCGCCGGCGCTGCGGGCCTTGTGCGGAAACTACGATAGGGATCAACACTTGAGTGTTTCGTACTCCAATACAAGGTAGATGTATGTATCGACTATTGCCGCACCGAATGACCGATGTGGATTGGTGACGCGTGTCTTGGTTGTACGGGGCTACAATTGCTTTGAACACGAAAAGGTTTTTGCATGATTAGACTATTGGTCTGCCCACGAAATGAAATGGTCGAGAGGTGGTCCCGAACTACTCTTTATAACAGTACAGCACGTAGATGATTGGCAGCATCGACCATAGCCGCGCAGCACACGTCGGCCGTTCTCACGGACCTACTCGACGTCTGTCACACCTTATGCCCCCCCGGCCCATTGGGGGCGCGGGGGCGGATGCTTCACTCTGCTGTGCCCTCTCGCTCTTCGCGAATGTCTTCACGTCTTCACGTCTTCATTGCGTCTCCATACACCGCGCCTTCTTGCTACTTCTACCGTGTCGTCTTCCTCCTTCCTAACTTCCCCCAGACCCTCACCGTTATCCATCCCGGTGTGGCCGCCAACACTTAACCCTAGTTATTATTACTTGACCCTTTCGGATTATTTTTTTGGGGTCAGACAAAATGCTCAGACAAAAAAAGGGTCAGATTTTTCGGAGTGTGTAGCCGGTAACGGTTTTCTTTGTATGAGGCTGCCCCACTTTCACCCACGGCTCAGACAAATTCCTCTCACCAGCCTCATTTTGTCGGAGGCGTGGGTTCCTGTTCAGAAGGCCAAGATATTTTAGCAGAGAGTATGTATTAATAGCGTAAACCACACAATACAAACGATAGCATCGCAGGGTACAGACTCGTCCAAGCCTCATGCCACCACCACTGGACAGACAGACCTGCTCCTCCTCCGATGCGGGCTGTGTACGTCTAATGTGTAGGATGTGGTGATCGCTGTGGAAGGAACCGAGGGGAGGGTGGGATGAGACAAGGTTCACCAGCAACCCAGAAGCCTCAAAAAGACCAACTTTTCTGCCTACAACCAGTTCAGGAGAACACCCAGACCATGAGCTGTAGGCCACTCGAACTGCTGGGAGGTGGCCCAAAAGTTACCTTGTGTTACTCTCTATCGGCGCTATCTCCTCTACGCAGCTGTTGCGGTTTGGAATGCTGTTAAAAAATCGCCGTGTGAGAGGTGATTGTTCTAGGTTGAAGCTGCTGTTGTGTGACCCGCTTTCGACCATGGTCTCAGCACCGTTCATTTCAACTCGATGTCCGTGCGATCACCTGATCTCTTGAATTTATTGCTTACCTTGCATTCTAGTCACGTTTGGTTCCACTTTTGTGCTTCGCGACCATCGTACACTTGCTTCCAACAATCGTCTTGGCGCCCTTCTATGGAAATTCGCGCCGATTGTTTCACTTGCCCTCATATCGTCCGTGTTTCACTTGCATTATTGTCGCTCTTCGTTTCACTTCCATTCTTCGCGACCTTCGTGTCGCCCACGTTCGGGAAAGGTTTTGGCGCCCTTGTTGCTAATTTCGCATCCGTAGGGTCACCTTCTCTCTACAATTCTTGCTGCACCTTGCATTGTTGTCCTCTTTGGTTTCACTTGCCTTCTTGGCGCCCTTATGCAGATTTTTTGCGCCGATTGTTTCACCTGCTCTCATATCGTCCTTGGGCGTATTCACTTTCTCTAGTGGCATCCTTGGTTCCAGTTGCATTCTTGGCGTCGTTTGGTTCCTTTGCAATCGCGGCGATCCCTGTGACACGTGGTTTCGACGTTTGTTTCACTTGCTCTCATCGCGCCTTCGGTTTCGCTCGCGTTCTCGCGGCGTTGGCTTCAATATGGCCTTCGCGATCACCGTGTCACCTGATTTCGAAAGTGGTCTTGGCAATCTTGTTCATGTTGGCGCCAGGTGACACGGTGGTCGAGTATTTTGCTGAAACCAAGGGCGTCGAGGATGGGAGTATATCCAGGCTCCAAGGAAAATAAACGTTTTCGACAACGGTCTTGGCATCTTTGGTTGCAAATTCAAATTCGAGTCCATGGTTTCACTCGTTCTCCAGGCATCCTTGGTTGCAATTGCATTTTTCGCGGCGTTGGGTTCGATACAAGTCCTGGAAAACTTCGTGTCACCTGCTTTCGACAACGATGGTGGCGCCCTTGGTTTGGATTAGGTCACCTTGGTTCACTTGATCTGTTGGAGTCCTTGGGGTTACTTCCATTTTTGGGGCCTGTGATTTCAGCGTTTTATGCGACCTTTGTGTCACCTGCTTTCAACAATTGTATTTGTACCGTTCGTTTCAACTTGGCGCCGTTTGTTTCACTTGCTGTCTTGGCGTCCGTGATCTCGCTTGCAATCTCCAGGGCTTCACATGCATTTTTGTCGACCTCTGTATCACCCGCGGCGTTCAGCAACGGTCTTGAGGCCCTGGTTTAATTTTGGCGCCGTTTGGTTCACTTGCCCTCTAGTTGAGATGAGTATTTCACCTGCTCTCTAGGTGATTTCCGTTTCGCCTGCTTTCGACAATGGGCTTCATGCACTTGGTTCAAACTTGGCGCGGTATTATGCACTTGATCTATCTCCCGGCGTCCTTGGTTTCACTTACCTTTTCGGCATTCCATAGTTCACTTGCAATATTTGTGTCCTTGGAATCTGTTTTGGACAATGGCCTTGACGTCGTTTGCGAAACGTTTGGAGCCGAAAGTTTCACTTGCTCTGTTGACGTCCTAGGTTTGATATTCATTCTTCGCAACCTCCATGTCACCTGCGTTTTGCAATTTCGGCTTGAATTTGGCGCCGTTTGTTTCACTTGCTCTCTTGGCGTCCATCTTGTACATGCTCTATTGGCACCCTTGGTTTCACGTGCAATCTGCACACCCCTTGGTTCAATTGCATATTTGGCGTTCTTGGTTTTCAACTCCTCGCTTCGTAACCCTTGTGGTATCTTCTTTAGACAATGGTATTGGCGCCCTTGCTGGGTTCCGTTTGGCACCGTTGGCTTCGCTTGCTCTTTAGGTGACTCTAGCTTCACTTCCATTCTTCGTGATCTTGGTGTCATTTGCAACCGACCATGAATTTGGTCCCCTTGATATACATTTTGGTACTTGTCGTTTCATTTGGTCTTTTGGCATCCTTGGATAAGCGCTTCCCTTTTTCGCGACCTTCGTGATACCTGCTTTCGACAAGGGCCTTGGTGCCCTTGGTTTCAAGTTGGTGCCGTATGTTTCACTTACTCTATTGGCGTCCTTAGATACTTGCATTCTTCGTGACGTTGGTATCACTTGCTTTCGACAAATGAGAGTGTAACGCAGCAAGGGTGCCACATGGTAGGACATATTCTACAGTATATTATCCTTTGCAAGTGTTCTTAAACACCCGGGACTGGACTCTGTAGTCCAACCTCTTCCATGCTCCTCTTGCCAGGGGAGCGCGGTGACAACGCGGGCTGTCCGCAAATTTATCCCGCCAATAGACCGACACTTCATTGATTCATTATTTCGTTTCGAATTGCGTATATTGTTTTGCGGCTAAACCCCGAGCGAAGCGAGAGATTCCAACCTGGCAGAGAGCACATTTCCCTAGACACCAATCTACGCCCTTTGAATCGGGCCTGCGCCTCTTTGCCCATCTGTATTGTCTCTCTCTCTTCCCCAAAAGAACAACCGAGCGTTCTCTTTCCTCCGGTGAAGGGAATTTGTTTTTCTGCACGCAATAGTCTCAGATGATCAAGTCCCGAAAACCATTCATCATTTTCTTCGTGTCCTCATTTTCCTCCCACCTTTGAAAAAATGGCGCGGGTGGGATAGGTGTGTGGGTAGGAAAATACTCAATTGTCAGCCGCTGCTGAGGTTGGTAAACCTCAGCAGAAGCCTGTTATGGGTCTACCTCGCGAACTGTTTCTCTCTGAGCTATTATTGTCTCTGGCAGGCAAACATTCTTTGTGTGAACAGAAAACTTGAACAGAATGGTAAAATCATGCAAGCCCTTGTCTCGTCTGGCCCCGTGTACGTAGCACTTTCCCGGGTACCCCAATCAATATGGGCGGCATGGCAGTTCGAGATGTATCAATACACCCGGTTTGTTTGTCGTCAACGTCTCCTGTGTCTGCGCCATAAAAGCCAAGTTTGTTGCCGAAGACGGAATAAACTGTGGCAAATTTTGAATGTACCGGGGCAGAGCTTTTAGGAGTTTAATTTCGCGGGTGAACCCGGCAATACACGGTGAAACCCATTCATGTGCGGGCCACACGCTTTCAAAACGTTGCACCTCACTCAATGAATCAATCAAGGAAATGAGACACCAGAGTAGAGGTGCCGTCACCGGGGCAGCAAAGAAATCACCGTGCATATAATCTGCCATGCGGGTTTGTCAACATACCGACGCGATTGCTTTGGGTGGGGTGTTCGCTCCAAATAACCTACCGATTGTAGATGGAGTCAAGAGAGCGGGAAAAAACAACGCGGACGTGCCAGAGCATCAGCAACACGTTACTTGAATTGTTCTGGGGAGAGGACGGGCGTGCGTGTAGATGATATAAAAGCATGCATGGATTCCTGGGTGTGGGTACTACTGCTGTGCTGCAGCAGCTCGACGTGAATATTCGCTTGTGTGTGCGTGCGTGCGTGCGTGCGCGTTTTTGCGATCTTCCTCTCTCTCCTCGCTGTAGCGGTTCTGGCGGGTGCTGCTGCGTGTTCGTCATCGACACTCAGTGTGGATTGACATTGCGAAACTTCGTGCACACACAGACCAGAGTAGTCTCTGCTGCTGTTGGCGTCTGGTATGCGCCAGTTGCAGCGCCCAGGCTCCCGCCTGATGTGTGTCGATCTCTGAACTGGTTGGTTCGAATGAGGTGAGCGCAGAAAAAAAAGCGTCGTAATTGCCAAAATTACTCGAAAATAGACAAGACGCCAAGAAGGCGCCAAGTTAAATGGAGACAGCTGATTGGCGGACGCCAAGTTAAATCTGTCCCGGTGCCTTTTTTTTGCTGCGTAAATTGTTGAAACCGAAAGAGTTGAAAGCATCATTGTTGGAAAACTGGGGACTGGTATACGTAGATTAGATTTCGCGTGCCCCCCACCAAACGTTCTGGACGCCATAGGACTTCCCAAAGCACACGTGCACCGGTGTCGTAGGTTGTAGCGCTTGTGGGCGCAAGAGAGGATCATCGGAGTACGTGGGCCCGCCGAAGGATTGAGGCACTGGCCAACATAGAAGAGGTGGCCAAGAACGTAGTGTTTTTTTCCCGCCCACCCATCCTTTTTCTTTTGAAGGTGGGGGAACGGAAACAGCAACATAGCCCTCATTTCCTTTGGTGAAGGTTTCTAGAGTTTCTTAAGGTTGTAGTTGAATGGCCGAGTACCAGTTGGGGACTTGGTCACTCCAGACCCCTGCGTGCAGTAGCAGTAGTAGGTTTACCCCCCAGCTGGATTTAGCTGACTTACCTGCGAAGAGAGAGAAACAGACAGTTTTTGAGGGGGATCGGGCGCGAGGATTGTGTGTTTTTCAGCGCCGGTTCCAACCCATTATCTCTCTCTATCCTAGGCGGTCTAGGAACCGATAATGATGAAGCAACTCGAAAGAATCAACAAACAGACCTGCACTGTATTGTTTTTGCTTCGAAAGTTTCGCGTTTGTTATTCTTCTTCCGAGCCCCGAGCGAAAAGGAGGAGATACCGGCCTTGCAGAGAACACTTTTCCCTCCGACCCGTTTCTACCTCCTTTCTATTGTGCGTCTCCCTCTCTCCCCATATTAATCTCTCTCTCTCTTCCTCTTTTCTCTCCAAACAGCAACCGAGGTTTCTGTTTCCTCCGGTCAAGGGAAAGAATAATTTTCCACGAGATGACCAAGTCCCCAAATAATGGCACCCTACTACATTTTCTTCGCCAACATGGCACTATTCATGCAGTAGAATTGGTTAGTTATTGTTTATGACTGCCACACCGTTCCTTCCCCGGATTGCCCCCCGACTCCGTCACTTCGTAGCGAATTGTTTCATTAATCCTCGGTATGTTTATTGTCTACGGTATGTACATGTAGCCTTAGTTTCCTGCCGTTCGCAATTGGTCCGCCTGCTGGCACTGTCGTTATTGTACTGCAGATTTTCGTAGAAATACACACAAACTGAACATTTTCCTTGGTCAACACATTAGCGCCGTCGACGCTATTGAAAGAAGCAGAAACAATGTAATTGCGACGGTTACTCTATCGGGCTGACTATCTATGTAGAATCCCTCCGCAGTTGTCGATCGCGCTGTCGCGCATACCGTCATCATCCCCTATTCTGCATACCTCCGCACTTCTCCCGCCCAGGATATTGTTTAGATTTCCGAAGGTAAGCCGGCTGCCATGGTTTGTCTGATTCATTTCCTCGCATCCATACAAATGCACGTCTTGGCTTGTCCATAGAGCGCGACCTGAGAGGTATTTGTACCTGACTCTTGAGACGAAGTAGTACTGAAGCATATGGCTACATACTGTAGCTTCTTGTTCAGCATTCCGTCTGCCAACGTAGACACTGCGGATGCCTAGCGTGCCCGGCAGAAGGTCGCCCTTCCGTCAGAACGCCCCATCGTCCGGAGCTCGACGTGTTACTTGGTGTCGAAGAGCATGATATCGCATCTGAAGTCTATCACAGAATGGAACATGGCAAACCGAGGGTGGTGGTAGTCGCCTTCTTCGAGATCTTCCTACTCAACAAGCAACACGTTCTCAACACCAACCCTCTATTCATGTCTGTATAATTTCGTCACCACGATTGTTTATGTAGCTTGCAGCTTCTACCTACGGCAAGGTGCTGCCTTCCTAGAGGAAGAGATCCGATCCAGGGTCAGATAAACTACGTACGTCGGTTGAGCCAAACATTTTTCAGTTACAGCAGCGGGCAGCAGCAGCTGCCGTTACAAAAGTCGACTATTGTGCACGTCGATTACTCACGAAAGCGTGTGTGTGAGGTGCGGAAAAGTCACCTCGCTTAGATCCGAGTTATGTAGGTATTATCTACAAGTAGGCCGCACTAGGACAGGGTTTCGAGGTTATTAGGGAGGACATCACCACGATCGGCCTGCTGTGGATCGGGTCACTGCTGCTGTGTGCATACAACGATGGATCTCACAGGTTTTGGTGCCGTTTCGGCAGCAAAGGACAGTTAGTTGCGCCGCATTGTTCGCACGGGCAGGTCGCAGGTGCATAATCTGCTGCTGGAGGCCTCTCCAGGATCTACTCAGGGCGGCTTTCTCGGCGTGCCCGTGCCATTGGCGCCCTGCACAACAGAGCAATTACGTCTGACAAAGGTACGCTGCGCTTCGGATGCCTGGTGACTGCTTTTTCGAATGTATGCTGGGACTTCGTTTGTGACAAAAGAGCAACATGAGCCGTAATGTCTTGGCGGCCCTGGACGGGACAGTCTGAACTGTGTACTGTAGTACTTGTATTCTGTTCCTGTACCTCGGACTTAAAATAGGCTATCCTCCACACGGTATGTGCTTGTAATATCTGTGCTTGCAAGAAAAACACGCCTAAAGGAGTAGTCTACTCATCGTCCGAGACAGGGGCCTTCACACTACAGTGTATTGAAGTCTACATCAACACCGCGGACTGTGTTGCCATCAGGATTCTGTCCGAAAGCCACGTACACCGGATGCGTAATGCCTATAACAACGTACGGCGCAAGCTAGTATCTCGTTTTCTGCATGCTGTACCCTGCCCACAACGAATGGTTCGGCAAACAGCATTAGACAAGTCTTCTGCAGAGGTTGCGTTTGCATATATTGGCGGACAAACGCCCCGACTCACAGCAACACATCGATCGAAATCCGCTCAACGTTCGGAAAATGAAGCTGACTTGCTGAAACTAGGGCCCGTTACGGAGGGATGCAAATATATCAGCGATAGTCCACTCGTTAACATCTGTACGTGCATTGTGGTGGCGGGGACAGACTGTATCGCGTCAACCGAGGCACTCACAATCAGCGAGTTTTGGCATTACCGTACCTGGCAGCTCGCCGATGTAATTTCACATCCTAATGGCATGAACCCCGGGATCGACGTTCGCCCCAACCTTTACCCGTTGTACATGCATTGCTCGGCGAGCAGCCCGATCGATCAGCTCCTTGGACGCTGACAAGATGGATACTATTGCACACAGATGGAAGCGAAACTCGCGCACCATCGACAGAACATCAACATCGGGAGAGTTGGATGCAGAAGCACTCCGTCATCCAACTGATTTTCAACGCACCATCAAGTGAGCGGATACCTGGTCAAACATTGTATTGATACAACACCGGGGGAATAAACGACGGATGAGGGAATGGGCGCTTTGGAAGACGCTCTATTCGAGCTCAATTCGGTCCTCTCCCCGTCGCTCCCTGTTGAATGATGCGGCACCTTACATATCACAACGTACTGCAGCGCATGGTTAGCAGGCGTGGAGGGATGGGGGACAACGGCTCGTCATGAAACGCGCCCTACTGATGGGTTCTTCACACAGCTGTCCTAGCTGCTAGACAATCGCCAGCCCACCCGTGCTACGCGCTACGAAACACGGGCATGCGTTTGCACTGTTCCGAAGAATCAATCGGGGGATCTTGCAACCGACCGAGTACACTGTATCACTTGGGACTCTCTAGTTGTTGTTTTTCGGAACCTCCCACCTGCCTTTTTTGCATCTAGAATACGTCGGGCTGCGCGTGCGGTTAACCTATCGTCTCCTCTAAATGTCAGGTCGGTGGAAGAATGTACGGCGGAGGCAGGGCATGGAGTAACGTCTAATGCTTGGAGGAAACGACTAGAGTCGGCAAAAAGCGAGGTCAAGACGGCTTGCCTGAAAGCCATCTCATCAAAGGGTACAAGACCAGGTGTGTGCACATGACGTTCTTCCGCGGAAACTCCGCAAGGATATGTGGGAATTTCGGCTGGGTGCGTATGTTTTCTCAATTGCATCGACCGTGCTAACCGGCTGACCAATAACCGGGCGTCAACGCGTGTTTTGCTGCGGTACTGGGGTCAATTCTCATGCCCGTGTTGTATGCATACATTACTCCCTCCATACAATGGACCAGCGGCACAACAGCGGCAATGGTGCATCTGAGAGCTCCGTCTATCATCATTCCCGGGGTTGAGAGATTCTCTAGACTGCTTGCTGGCGCGTTTCGGGCGTCGATAACGTTCGTTCAACGGTCGTCTACGAAGCGACTTGTACCTATTGGTTGAAGCAAGAAATACCTGACTTCACCTCTCCTGCTGTTGCTTCTCGGTGTGCACTTTCCGAGCAGATGCTATCCTCGAGGCCGCTAACGTCTTCGTGGAGAAAATCTCTTCCACCTACACGGACGAGAAAGTCGACCAAGTGAAAACTTTCAGGCAAGAAGATCAGATGCGTTGGTGTACATTGGATACATACGCATTCATGATTGGGATACGGCATTTTGTCCATGCACGACAATTTCTCCAGTTTTCCCCCAGCACCAAGATGCACCTTTCCCGCCGTAGGGGAAGAAGACGCCGTGAGCGTCAACACCGACATGAACGGAGAGCGGCCTCGAATCCTACCGTGAACCCCGGAGAGAGACAGGAATGGGGCCGAGGAGGAAAAGAAGGCCGGAAGTACTAGCACCAGGTGAGATGTTTGATATGGAGTTGTTGCTTTGTGTTGATGCTGCTGTTGTCGTGGTGGCCGACCTCGTTGTAGTTATCGTTGCTGGCGTTGCGGGATGTCATTGTCGTCGTTGTTGGTGGTGGCATTGTTGTTTCGTGGTGCCGCCTGTTGCTGGTTGGAAGCTGGGTCGATGTGGAAGTATGTTTGTTGACGTATGGCCTCACCCTATTTGTTGTACGCATGTGCCATGTACACGTTGCGCGTATTTCAGCGTTCTCTCGACCCTGTTCATACCATAGGAGAACGCTTCGTTCCCACGAGGGTCCCGCGAGTAACCCGATACTTTTTTACTATCCGCCGGAGGCGTCGGCGAGAGACAGGGTCGCCGTCAGTGCCAGTGACGAATAACGCCCCCAAGAGAGGAAATGGTTGAACGACAACCCGATCGATCTGTACCTGGGGTTAGTAGGCATGTGTCGTGCCACAAGCGTATCCGTACGCCTAAACCTAGACCTACTTTTAGCGTAACTCTAGTCCTCCTAACCCTGGAACTCCAACGTCAGCGTATGTCTAACCCTAGTGTTAACCCTGAACCTCGCTCTACCTCGTAAGTGCCACAGGCGTAGCGATAGGCATAAGCTTATTGGCCAATCGGGGTCACACAGCAGAAAGGCCGAGACAAACGTTTTCTGTTCTGCAATATTCTGCTGTGCCTCTCACAATATTTAGAAACGAATCAACCGCTCCTTCCTTCGTCGACTGTGAGCTGAACTGTTACTTACACGCGGACTATGTGTGTACGTTTCAGCCCGATCTATTCAGGCGTCCGTCTACGCCTTTCGGAATACATTTGATGTATCAGGCGGGTGTCGTACAGGATATGGGTAATAACAAAGGGCAATCAAATACGTTCTGCGTCGTGGCGGATGTTATCTATGGCCGTGTGCAATGGTGATAATTCACCCCCCACGGTGAAGCTAAGACCGACAATCTCCCACCTGCGAGGCTAGATGATGGTTTGGTCGAGGCAGGGTTGGCTCTTGTGGCATGGAGCTGAAAAACGGCTGTATGGGGCATGGGCGCTGTTTATCCCGTATGTCGTGAGAGCATGTGGGCTTCGGTCCTAGAGTTCGCACCCCATGGGATGTCCGCTGAACACTGATAGTTAGAGCAGGTTTTACTCCGAGTGTATCATACGCGAAATACACGAAACGGCTGGTGTGCTGCTTGTGGCGCGCCTGTTTTGTACAAGCGCGCAAAGATCGAACTTCCTTTCGGCACTTAAATTCAAGCACAGCCGTGCCTTACCGAATATGAGGCGTTTGGTTTGCCGGGATGCCCAAGCAACCCATGACATACATATCTGGTTTGGCGCATCAAACGAAAGCGTATGATCAACGTCCTGCACGCTTGTGAAACGCAGCCTGGGCCGGCGAAAACCCGGAATAACGCTACGCCCCGGGATTGTCGGGATGCGAGGTCAATGGCCTAACGACTACGGCATGCGTTTACATCATACACCCCCTACTCACCATCTATGCGAAACACGGTCGTATTGGTGCAGGCACATGACCCGAGAGGCGTTTCGACAGCGGGGCACGGGTGGCGGCGGTGTTGGTACCGGCCACGACGGCGAGGATAGTCGTGATCCCGGTGGTGAAGGCGCGAGCAGTGGTAGTAGTAGCCAAGATGCTGGTCCTCGCGGTGACGCGGAGCGTTGGAACGGTGGCGGCGGTAGCGTCGCCGCTGGTGCTGACGGCAACCAAGGAGGTGATGCTCGTGGTCTGGCTGCTGCTGCCGCTCCTGCTTGCGATACCGGCGACGCCGCCGCTGCTGTTGTGGGTAGTGGTGGTAGGACAAAGCCGAATTGTGGATGTATGGATGAAACCAAGGTGCACATATTTTCGTCGTCCTTCTTCACCAAGCTCGTGGAGAAGGACATCGACGAGTTCAATGTAAGTCAGTCTCTTTGTGTGATGCATGAGTGTGTTGGCGTTAGCGTCGATCGCGATAGCCGCTGACGTACGGATTTGTGTGTGTGTGTGTGTGTGTTTCTTTCAGTAGCATAGACCGCGCGATATAGCCGGGAAAATACGTCTGCGCTGCAGTTGAGTTGAGTATTATGCGCAATAGCGCTTTTTGTGGTGTGTGTGTGCTTCTCGCCGTGTTGGCCTTTAACCATAAACTATTACGGCCCAGCTATTCGAGGGTTTGTATCTCCTCGATCAGACACTGACGAGGACGCGAAGCACACGTAGCTTGGTGAATCTCTCCCATGATATTTGGAACGAATTTCCTTCACGAAAGGCAAGGATAATTTACTTGGCGACCCCCGCCTTCCCCTGCAACGGGTTATCGACGATCTAACTACGACAATGCCCAAGCTGGACCTACTACTGTACCCTCACTCTGACTCCCTCACGAATTCCTATTATTCGCACACCCTCTGCCGCTTATCAGGCGGCGTACGGCGGTGTCAAGCGTTGGTCCCGGCACGTGGATCTCTTCTCGATGAAGTTCGTCATGGTACCGGTGGTGGAGGACGAGCACTGGCGCCTCGCGTGCCTATGCAACCTGAACAAGCTCGAGGTGCGGTATCTACGGCGGTATCAATATTGCGTCATACGGGAGATCTTAAGCAACTACCCTGGCAGACTGCGTGTCGGCAGACTACAGTAGTAGACCCACACGGAGATAAGCCGAAGGTACCGTGCAGACGGACTTTGTTTCTATTGTCTTTGGTGTGCCGGCCAAATGAGGGTTCAGTCAGCCACCGTGTGCTACTTTAGCTCTTGTGGTTTTCAGCAGATGGCGTTGAAATCAGGTAAGGTATCCATGGGACAGCGTCGCTCCTGCCTTGCACCCTACTCTTGGCGAAGTTCATTATCTAGACCTGTGAGGGCACAAAGTGCAAGTACTGCTGCCTCTCGTTTGATTCGAGCAGGATTTGATCAGGGCATGCATGTTTCCTATGTACAAGGTTCGCCAGCTAACGCACCGCTATTCCTTGACCTTTGGCGCTGGGGACTACCAAAATGAAAATACAAACGTGTGTAGGTGGGCAAGGGATCGATGGTCTACCACAGCGACGACGCCCGGCCGTGTATGTTATTTTTGGACTCGCTCGGTAGCAAGGGTCACGACTCCGCGGACATCCACGAATACCTGTCCATGTAAGAGGAGGGGGGAGAGCCAGAGATCATTGCACCAACCAGCAAGGGATAAGCACAGTTGGTTGTTGTTGATGATGATGTCACCGTTGTTGTTGTCGTCGCTGCTTTTCTTGATGCTTCTCTGATAACATGGTTTCATTCACACCTCGCGGATGAAGAACCGAGCGATCAATCTCGTCTAACTTGACATGCCTATGGACGATCTGATTCGCCTGGTACCTGCAGGCGAAGTGGAAGGATACCGGGCGAGGCGATCTTGTGTTTGATCCGGATGTTCTTCCCCTCGTGTGCCCGCAAGCGCCCACGCAGCCGAACGCCTACGCCCGCGGAGTGTACGTTCTACGCTTCGCAAAGGGAAGCTCCAGCTTGTGCCCGTGCATGGTTTGCACAATCTCCGCTTACTACTTAGGGGATACAGGGCTGAGCCGCTCTATTGGTGCGATTAGTCGTGGATGCACGAACATACAATTGAAGCTCCAGCTTGTGCCCGTGCATGGTTTGCAAAATCTCCGCTTATTACTTAGGGGATACAGGGTATTACTTAGGGGATACAGGGCTTAGCCGCTCTATTGGTGCGATTAGTCGTGGATGCACGAACATACAACTGTTTTTTTTCGTCGCTTTGACCCCTCTCTTGTTCTTGTCCGAAACTTGACGCCGCGTGAACCCACATAATTCACCTCTACCCGGTTGTTCTTTTGTAGTTTCTGCATCGCAAGTCATTGTGTCGTTTCCTGCCTTGTTTTCGGTGGGATAACATGCTAGTTATTTCTCGAGTGTAGTGTTTTCTTCAACCGCGGCATCGCAAGCGAAAAGCGGGTAACCAATGACCAGGCGTCAGTTTGGTTTCTTGGTCATGGTATGTCTATGTGTGTCTTTTTTTCCTTTCAGAGAGGTTTTCGGGGCAAGTAGGTTTTTCTTGGCCTTCGTCTCGATAGGGGGTCCGCGTTCCACGACCCTGTTCTGTTGAGGAGCCTTGGTGTTGTACTAGATACCCCGACTGTTCGCCCTTGAGGACATCTTCGAATTGCGGTCTTCTACGATTACGCCTGACCCCCTGCTGATGTGTGCCCGTGTTTGCGCTGGTGATACTTATCACACATGTTTCCCTCGCAGGAGATGTACCAGAAGTGGCCGGTGGTGAAGGAAGCAGGCGTCAACGATGGGATGCAGGCGCACTTCAATCCCGAACTCTTCAGCCCCTCGGACATCACGGAAGAGCGCCGTATGCTCGGGAAGCTGCTGCAGGACTGCAAGTAAGCACCCCGACTATTTAGCCTACTGAACCCTTTTAACAAACACCCGGTAACCCCAGTCGGTCCCTCGTTGGTCACACGTACCACTGCTTTCTGGCCGAGTCTGCCACCCTCCGGTGGCGGCGTTTTGGAGATATTTGCTATTCTGCCGCACTCGGATTCTCTTCGGTGAATGGTGTCGAAGCTTAAGGTTTGCGATGCCGCACACCGTCGCTACCTGATAGTGTGAGGTCATCTGGTGGCATTGCGGAAAGTGGTTATTTCGCTCGACACGCGTGGAATCAATCAAAGTATGGTACGAAACATCATACAGAGGGGCAGCCGACGCAAGGCGAGACTCGCGTGTCTTTTGGGGGGTATTGGAATCCTTGAGTCTAGGTCCGGTGGCGCCGTCCGACACTGCACGCGGGAAAAAAACATCTGATGAGCTGGTTGGAACGGTATTGCGCTTGTGCTGGGACCACTAGTGTTGAGTGGTTGCTGCTTTGTGCCCCTGCCTGAACTGCCCCCCCCCCCCCTCCGCCCTCCCCGGGGGTTT